CCCCAAAACCCCAAAACCCCAAAACCCCAAAACCCCAGGATAAATAATAAAATTGAATAATGGAGTATGTTTCAGATGAGCCAAGTGATTTGTCCCAAAGTGACCCTATTGAAAGACATTTCGAAACTCTCAAATCCGCTAGAAATTGGGATGCAAACGAGATTCAGCTAATTTCTAGTAGAAAAAAGCAGAAAAGCAGGAACTGTAAATCCTCTTTCATCAAATATAGCCGTTCTTTCATACAATGGAGGAAGAACTAAGTGGTTTAGTCTGAGAACTTTGTTGTCAAATAAAAGCAGCAGAGTAATCCCAGATCCCAATCCTCAATCTGAAGGTAACTTTCTACCTAAATCACAGATGAAAAAGAATTGGAAGTCAGGAACAATAATAACCAGGATAGCAGTATCAATGACCATTCAGTAATATTTTCAGTTAAACTTCAGGGAGATGTACAATATTTCAACAATTCTGAAGATATTGTAAGATATCTTTGCTAATCCATAGTCTCCAATAACTGTCTACGTGTCAATCAGGACTAGATTTTTATGATGAAAGTATTGGAAACCTATCAAACTAGTGTTCAACCCTGATTCTCAAGGTATGAATCCCCTCTATCATTCATAGAGCTCTTAATTGGCTCAAAAGTCATTAATTTCGACGATATTATTGAACTGAAGCCTATTTTCATTCGAATGAAAAAGAATGAAGAACTTATGCCACAGGATTCTTCTTCAAATCTGCGGAGTAGGACAAACCTAGCTCTTCCTTGAATGACACAGAACGATATTGAGGTATTTTCTAACATAAAGCTTGTAGCAAAAATGATTTTATGAATTGAAAATAGTTTATTGCCATAACTCTACCCTCAAGATGTACCAAATGAAGGGTAAGTTACCTCTAAGTCTCTTTAGAAATCTCTGGTGAAGACATACTCGGGATAAAATAAACTCTTAGCCTCGAAACCTTCCCAAATAGAGGATCTTGAGGGAAGCCAAGCCTGCACTCGAATGTAAGAATTATGTAATTTTGTAGGAGATTTTACCAAAAATATCCAAATCTGTATGTGTTGATTTGTCATTTTTAGACTGAAAGTCAAAGGGTACCAACTTATTGAAGAATCTATGACCATTCTAGGCAGAAGTATAAAATGTATTATTCTTTAGAGAAAGAGTGACAACTTCTTGTCAACCAACAGAATGATAATCCCGGAAATGATATTTTGTTCAAGTAAATTTTTAGATGAATTAAGCAAGTTTGTTCGAAGTGTTTAAATTTTAGATATTTTTCAATTTTATAATAATTAACTGGGGTTTTGGGGTTTTGGGGTTTTGGGGTTTTGGGG